GCGACACTCGAAGACACGTGGACCTACCGGTGACGGTGTCTAAAGGGCGTCGCGAGCCGATATATATCGTCGCGCGAGAGTCGGACTGGGATATATACACACACACACGCGCGCGCGCTCGGAGAGCTCCGGAGCACAAAAAAGGGAAAATCCAAACTGGTCGCTTAATCTGTCGTTCGTGACGGGACTCCGACAATTTATCCGCGGTCGAGAAATCGAAGGCGCTCGAGGAAATCGAAGCGACCGGACAATTTTTGCCACGTTATTTCCCAGAGTGTGTTGTCTCCTTCGTTGGAGATTGCCACTTTCGTTCCGCTCGCACGCACACACATCGTCGTCGTCGGAGACTCCGAATGTACCTCTTGATTTTCCTTAAGTGCGCGCGTTTAATCGCTCGCCATCTGTTCACGTTTCAATCTTGCAGTTACCGTACGATAGCGTTGAACAGCGCTATAGTTTTTCTGCACGCATTCGCCTTTACGCATTCCCCCGACATTTGACTTTGTATCGCCGGATTTGTTATTTGATCTCATCTCAAATTGTTTCGCTAATTTAATAGAGAAATTAAAATAAAACCGGTTGTATAAAAATGCTGCGGCACGCAAATCGCAATAAGTTGAACATTTAAAGAACAATTTCTATGCATTGTACACGTGTATCTACTGTCGACTTCTTGAAGCGTCTCATCCTCTTCCGTCGACCGATCGTATGTCGTTCGCCGGAAGTCGCTTGCTACTTCACCTAAGTGTCTTTTCGAATCCTTCTCGTCACCGGAAGCTTAGCAAAATTCCCGGCCGAGGTCGTAAAACGCCAGAATCGACGCTGATGACTTCAACGCATGGAAAGTGGTCCGGACTATTTCGGGCGCTTTTATGCCGACTGTGTCCTCGATCGGTCGTTGAGGTTTCAACTTCTCGGGCGAGACCTCATTATCGGGTGATGAATAACCGCGTTTCTGAATCACGCGCCTCTTTGGTCGAAAGAAGAATGCGGGAGGAGGGAGAAAGACGAGGGAGAAAAGCGCCGAAAAATGTTTACAATGTCGGTCGCGTACAACGTCGCATAATGTTAAGGTTCGAAAAACAATGACATTTGCATCGTTAAAATAAACGCGACGTATGACCTGAATCTCTCAGTTTCCGCTGTCTCTCCCGAGCTCTTAACGAACGAGCGAAGATATTTTGCAAATTGGTGCACCTGGGCGACGAAGCGGAGCAAGGAAAAAGAAATCGAGTTAATATTCATGGGCGATGCGTCACGATGACCTTTTGGCGGTACATTCGGCTCTCCGTTTCGCGCTTCTTCTCTCCCCATTCTGGCCTTGAAACAACCTGACTCTATTTTATTTAAACGCGTTCGGGACAACAGATGTGGAATTTGGATATCGTCCGAGAAACTAAGACGTATAGAAATAAGCGTTCGCGAAACGGAAGAAACGTGTTCGCGTCACGCAAGTTCTCCGTATTACGACGCAATTAAGCGGTGGCACTTTCGTTGCTTAGAAAGGAAAAGCAGAAGCTGTTGACATTTACACTTTATTTCACTCACATTATAATTGTAGATTCATTCGATTTCCTTAGGACTTAATTTATATATGTATATATACCTATGCTTATCAGACATTATTTATGCTCGTATGTTGCGAACAAGCGAGAATTGAAATTGTCGCGCCATAATCTACTTATCCCGCTTCCGTTCCAAATACGTTCGTGCGATTTCGGTCTTTCGTATCAAACGCGCGCGTTTCTTGCGGCACCAAAAATGGAAGAGAATCGTTGGAAAAAGATCCGGAGCAAAAGGGGCACACAGTTGTCGCGCGCTAAGAAGACAAGAGGGGACGAGAGAGTTTCGTCTCCCTTCCTCTTTTGATGTTACGCGGAGAATTCGAAGCAGTCGTTAGTATGCTAATGAGTGTCTCCTCGTTTCGTCGTCTGTGACCGCTGTGCGAGAGCCGCTAAATTATTTCAAATATTTTTTCGAATGTTCATCCAGGAGGAGGAGAACCGAGTTAGAAGTTAGAGATTGTGTCGAACTTATAGTGAATTTTAAACTTATATTAAGCTGCAGTGTTTCGCTCGCGTTAAGCATGATTCACATTAGCGAGTCGAATTTCATATGAAGAAGTCTAGACAAAAAACTTTTTCGACATTGAAATGTATAATTATATTTTATGCGAAATTAATATCTTTCCTGCACGTGTCAAAATTTTAAGTCGATTTATCAATTCGTTCTTGAAATGTCATTTAACGCAACTTTGAAACTTAAAAAAACACGCGTTCAAGGTTTTTTACGCTTCGTATAGCTTCTAACCGCTGTAAATTGTAAAAATTATGATTTATACTATTTTTATGTTAATATTTTGTAATAAGAATAAAAATATTTTATGAGATTCCGTAAAAAAACACAAAAAATTGATTGTTGTCTCTCAGACGAGTTCTTAAACTAAAAGCCTAAACAGTTTTGTCTTATGCGATTTATCGCGCAATTTTCTATTGGAAGGGGAGCAAGATATATATATATATATATATTTTTAATATTCCAATAACGTACTCAAATAAGCAATGAAATTCCAGTACGCATGTAATACGATACATATAATCTTTTAGTGGGAAACCTCGAGCCAAGTTGCGTAACATCGAAGTGCTCGAGGAGCGAACATCAGTTTTTCCTTTAAAATTCGGTTTGCTAACCGCATTAACGTGTATGCGTGTGTGTGAAAAAAAATTGGTCGTCTCACAGCGAGCACTTTTACTCCTCGTCGCTGTACTTTCGTATCCTCCTTTCATCTCGATATCAGAACCCCGAAATGGCGCCGTTATATATATCTCACGATAACATCAAAACTCCGTGCGAGCGCGCGGTGTTCCTTCCTCCGCTGGTATATAGTTATACAACCAGTGACGTACGCGATACGATGGCGATATTAATTTTCCAGACGGTATCGCATTTCGTACAATCATATCATTAATTAAATGCGTCGGGCTCGGAGCATCGATTAATTTCACTTACGCGAGTGTTAATAACTATATTGCTACTCGCTGGTTGACTGCCGTAACCGCCGTAATAAACAGAAGGTAGAATTACATACATGTACGCGCGCGGTATGAAGATCAATTTTATCGCCTAAGGATCGTTATTTTACGTAACGTCAATTTTGCGCACGACTTTTTCTCATTTTACAAACTTTTGATTTTTGATTAATTCGATGAAAACGCGCGACGTGGTTTACTGCCTCGAGATTAGATTCGTGCACGCCGGCGGTATTTTCTCCTTTCTTCATTCCAGTTCGCGAGAGAAGATTCTAATTGACCTAAAAGGCGTTATCTCTGCTACTTCGTCTCCGGAAAACGCGCGCGTCGTCGCGCCCCCTCTTCTAAGGACAAGCAGAAACCATTGCCCGTTGTTGCCTTAATGAGATCCAATTACTATCGGATGGGTCACTTAGTGCGCCGGTACCGATATTCCACGGTGTAGCACACATTAGTGGGACGAGTGAAGAGCAAGGGTCAACACCCCACAGAGACCTAAGCGCGGCCTAACGAGACTCGATTGCCGTTCGTTGTCGTCGATACGGTATGCGTGCCCGCATACTATAGAAACAGACGCATTCTGGCGCACGTGCGCAACCCGGAATTCACCTGTTGAATATTACTCGCTACTGTGTCGGTCCTCCTCGTGACCAACACGCGGAAGCGTAGCGCGCTCGCGCGCGAAACAAGATTTCTCTCCCTTTCTCAGCTTCTCGCGTGTATCCCGCGGGTGTTTGTTTCAGAATCGAAACAATTTTCGAAATTATTTTTAATAACTAATTATTTTAAGCCAGTTTTTTTTTCAAATACATGCTTTTTAATATCCAAGAATAATTAACGCAATTATAACAAAACTAAACGGTACTTTGAGGTGAAATTGTAATATAAAATTGTACGATGAAGAATGAGACAAAAGCGCGGAGATTTTATTTTACTCGAATGTGAAAGTAATAATGCACAATGGTCCGCGTTGCGATTCTCTCTCTAGGGGTGTTATCATTTCATCGATACGTCATTCCTTTGAACACTTGACGCGATTCGTCGCAGCGCAAGCATCTCCACCGAACGAGGACGATCCAAGATAATCGATTAGTCGCGCTCGCGTCTCCCGTCCACTTACGGATTCGAGCCGGGCAGAAAATTTTTCTCTCGATTGCCTCTCACGCGCTCGCCTTTTTCCACATATATCGGACTTTCGCGTTTCTGTTTTGTGATTGCCAGAGAACGCCGGAGAATCCCCTACCCGTCAGAGTCTGCTCGCATCCGTCACGGCTTATTAAGTCGCTTCTTCTTTAAACTAGAGTGCGAAACACATGCGGCTTACTCGGTCGACTCGTCGCCGCTTCGTATCGGCGTTTACGACTGCGCGAGATGCCGGTCTCTCAGCAGCAGGTTAATATCGAATAGAAACTACTTCCGCTCGTTTCGCGCCGCAGATTGTCTCTTCGAAAAGACAAACTCCGCCAATAAATCACAACCTCGCTTTGCTACATTTCATCTCTTTCAAAACCGAGTACGAGAAATCTCATTGGAAATCAGCGATTCCTCGTGTGTGCATATTCTCTCATTTGTTCTCTCGCGACCTTGTGTCACTTTTGTCGCGAGAAGCGTTGCGAGAGAAGTTCGAGTTTCACGCAAAACGATAGTTACTTATTATTGACCAAAAATACGACGCTATTACCATGTTCTGCGACTTGGTAATTGTAATTACGCTCGCGTTGCTTTTTAAAGCTTGGTAGAATTTGCATCACAAACGTTACGTAAAACGCGCGCAACGCGTGTTATAACGTTGAGGTCGTGGAGTTTGTTTTCCAACGCAGCAATGCGTACGTCGTCGTCATCGCCGTGCGAATTCAACGGCGTCACGTCGCAAAGTCCGCAAAATCCACGACTCTCTCTCTCTCTCTCTGTGATCGCCAGTTTTCTAATATGAGACGCTACTACACAGTCAAATTTGATGATTGCACTTACCTTGCAGCCTTCGCAGGTAAACGCCCCAAAGTGATAACCGTTGGTCTTCGTATCTGAGCACACCTGGCACCTTAGCACCTGCAATTATAAAAATTAATGAAAGTTATTCAAAATGAGAATACGTCAGAGTGCGGTTGCCGCGCGACTCATCCTTGAAAGAATAAAAGCGTGGCCGGTGTGTGTTAGTGGGGCGGCGAACCGGTTTTCTACGTTCGCTTCGATTTTCATTCCTCCCACGATATCTCACGGATGTTCGACCAGTATTTGGAGTATCGCGAGAAAAATAAACAGAAATAAGGCAACGGTTTTTACTTACGCGAACCACATTAACGATAAGATAAATTCTTCCGACTGTATTTATCGAGCTTTCGATTCTATTTTACAACGCGAAATAACTTGAATATTTTTCGATCGCACGCAATCTATACGTAAAATAGTCGTAAACTCGCGATAACGTGTCGCGCGCGTGTGAAAATATTGCGCGCGTGCATTATGTATTTCTCTGTAAATTGAGAATTTTGTTGAGTCTAGAACGCAATTACACACACGCATCTTCTATATTATAAAATCTATGAACACACGAAACGAGTATCTGGAGAATCACTAGGTTTTTTTTTTTTTTTTTTTATCCTACGTTTACTCTGTCGTAATCGAAACTTGTTTTTAACCAACCGGCTTGTCATAAATCAGCGCTATCTCGGCAAACGGTGCCATCTGCCTCGATTCTCTCGATGTCGCAGCAAGAAATCGATTTTTTCGAATAAACTGGAATAAAATTAGTCCATTGATGATCTGATAAAAAAAAATTTATGATTCGGCAATCTCATGAATGCTTCGATTAATCGACGCGATTTAAAAACTCTTTCGTATCGATCTGAACTCGATACGAAGGAATCGGATTTTCTCGAAAATTTCAAATCTCGTGTTTTTTTTTTTTAATAGCATTCTGCGCATAATAATGAGATTATTTGGTTATTTTGTTCGAGTTTTAATCTGTTAAAAAAAATCGTTCTATGTAGATGGTTTTTTTATGGACATCGGGTGTAAAATAATGTCGGTTTACGACTCACAGAACGCGCGAATAAACTAAAACAAGTTTTGTCAATTCCCATAAAATGTCAAACATTTCTGACATTTGATTTCTATTTCCTACAAACGACGCTATATCGTGACAAGTTCTGTGTCAAGTGCGACACGTGTTACGAGTTATCGCAAAAAAGCGTTTGCGAGCGACTCGCGAGCACGTTTCGAAGCGCGGGGACCACCTGCGGATTTGTTGATATAAAAATATAACCACGATCGCCATTTGTCGAGGTCGACGTGCCAAGTCGGTAGATAAAGTTCCTCAAAAGGATGATGTTTTTTTTTTTTTTTATGTAGAACGAAGAGAAAACGGGAGAAAAAGAAGATGGCAGGAGGCACTTTAACGAGAATCCAGTGTGACGGTAATTAGAGCTATACGATACGACATGAGTTCGCGCGCGTTGCGTCTAGTCGACTCTTCTTTGTAATTGCGCTTTCTGAAGAAAATGGGCTGCCACTCGTGTTCTCACCAGCGAAGACGGCCGATAAAAGAATAAACAAACGAAAAGAGAAGGAGAGTGAAGAGTCGACTCGCAGGTTCGTTAAGGTTTTCAAGTTTTTTCGCTATACGCGATTGCTTAACGGTCATTGACCCTTCTCTTCCTCCTTCTCCTCCTCCACCCGCTGCGCGGTTCGTTGATGAAGCGAAATCCTTTACTGTCCTTTTTATCTCCGTCCATCCTACGATCGAGCGTTTCGCAATTTTCGCGTTTACGTCGATCGGAACGATCGACTAAACCGTAGTGAATTTTACGCACTTGCATCGAAATATCATGGAGTTCTAATATACCTGGTATTACTGATTTCTTTAAAAAAAAAGTTAAAAAATTTTGACTCATATATTTATTCTTCGCGCATAAAATGTTGATGTTCTAATTACGTAAAAAACATTCTAATAAAACTCGATCTCAATAAAATGTTTTTCTACCATTTCCACACGTCACATATACCTCAGACCAAAACTCGGTCGTTCTAAGTGAGTCTAAGAGGTCACAAAGCAAGAAGACCTCACACGAAAACAAATAGAGCAGAGCAGAACATGCGGTGAACGCGCAGGTGCGGACGCGCATGTGCTCTCGAGCGGATAGACGCAGAAACGACGTGAGATGTTGAACGCGATACGAGGAAAACAATAAGCGCGAAAGGTCGAGATGCGAGAGGTAAAGGTCGTAACGCAACCGTTCGGAGGTGGAGCAATCGCGAGCGAGCGAGATGTAAAAAAAAAAAAAAAAGAAAAACGCTCCATCGCTCTAATAACCGAGGGGAATACAGAACCGCAGAGAGATGAGGAGCGGCGCACTATACACGCCGTGATTTGCAATAAATCACAGAGAGAGCGAATAAAGTCAGGGGCCTTCGCTGCACCGCGGCGTGCGTCGACCGTAACCGGCAAACCGTACCATTTACGTGGCTCAGACTATTGATTTTACAAAAGATCGCGCGGTGTAACTGTTACATCTCTGAGTAGTCCGCGGAGGTCAATGTGGGCCAAGGTTGATTTATATCCTCGCGGACCGGGTCGATTTCGCGCCGCGTGTACGCGACATCGCGCCGACTTCGAAATATCTCGATCCGATATACTGCGTTTCGCATACAAATCCCGCAAAGCTTATCTGCGGAGAATGTTTCAGTCGACACGCGCAATTGTCGATGCAACAGTCACACGAGGACGAAAATATTAAAACAAAAAAAAATAAAAAACACCAGACTTCTCTTAATTTAATCAGACGATGTCATTGACTTCGTGGCGTCAGCAGTGCACGCGGAGTGCAGGTGAAATGGAAGAAGAGTCAAAGCGGGATAAGGGGGCCAACAGTGTAAATACACGGCACCTCGTACCCTAGTTTCTAGTGGATAGAGTCAATATTTGCTCAGCATCGGTGCGTTAATGAAGTCGATCAACTTGCCGTACCTGCTCCAAATATCAACTTACTGGGTCTCGCCGCGACGACGGTGACGATGACGACGAGGCCCAGAAGAATCACACTATCCGGCTGCGTTTTGTGTCGTCGCGGCAACTCGTGCTCACGCGCGCGTCTACGGGATCCCGAATATATACCTGCACACGGGGGCACGTTGCAGTTTACGCGCCATTAAACACGAATCCCGTATGACGTTTATTCCTTTATGAAGATTTTTTTACCGGCCGAGATACGTTTTCTTTGTCGCCGTTACCCCTTGCTCAACGTCTCAACCCTTTCTCCTCATCGACTTTGCGCGCGCTGCTCCGGTCGTCGTCATCTTCGTAAATTGTTCTGGTCATTGAGACAGCGAAATCTTATTGTTTTATTCATACGCTGTCTTATTGAAGTTACGAGTTGAACGAAGAATACGCGAGAAGCAAATATATTTATATTATTACGTGCAAAAAAAAACATATATATAAATTATTTACATCTAAGTTCGAAGTTCACGTAGAAGAATATATTGACAATTACAGCTGACATGATTTATGCGGATCACACGAGCATAAAAAAAAAAAATGAGAAGAATAGATTATAATTGTTAGAGAGAAAAACGAACTCTTTAAAACTCTTTAAACTCTTGCAAAAAGAGATGTACACAAAATTAAATATAAATTAATTAATAATAACACTAGTGTTGTATCATCATTTATATATAAAACAAACGCACAATTGATTACTAAAATATCCGAGAATAAACAGCTGCGATTTTTCTGCGAGATAAAGAAAAGGTGCATGATTTTTAGAACGGTCTAAGTTGCCACTCGATAAGAGATTCGTGATCGCTTGCTAAGAAAGATCGTTTGCGTTTGAAGGTGCTAATTTCGAATGCGACGATACACGTCGAGATTGCTTGCCGCGTTTTACATAACGCGCAAACAAGATATAATCACTTTTCCGCGGCAATCGCGCAGACGAGACGCGCCCGCATGTGTTCGTTGTTATAATTCTTCGTCGCAACGAGAGAGCACATACACGCTCGAAGAAACGCAGTTCGCGTAATGTAATTAATCGGCGGTGCATTTAATTCGCGTATTTACTACACATCGCGTTTAAGAATGAGCACTTGATTACTGTCCGAGTCCGTGATGTATGGCCGATGATTTTTCTCGGTGTGCGTTAAGTGAGTCAATGAATCCCACTCGAGGGAAGGAGTCGATATATCACCTCGCGGAATAACGCGCACGAAAACTCTCGATGTTATCGGCGCTTAATTATGCGCGGCGAAGTTGTAAGCTTGAACAAATGCGCGTCTAATCGAATATTAGTGAATTGCGTACAAAACACAAGAGATTTTCGCGTTTTATATTAGCGAAAAAGCGGGAAGCGAACGATAGAGGAAGACTCTCGAGCAACATCCCGACGAAAACTGGTTCTTTCATCGCGCGCGAGAGTCTCTTCTCCGAAGTTCACACAAACGATAAGTTCGAATTTAGCATTAAAAATAAAAACTTTCGAAGGCAATGCTCTAAAAGCGAAACTTCGTAGATAGTTCTTATATCTAACCAATAAAATATTCTTCGCGGTTGGGTCTCCGTTACATTACCTGATCGAATCAAATTCTGTTGCGAGCAATTTGGTGATGCATTTGGTTAGCCTCTCGCTGGGAGAAACGTTGCGGTATCACTGTATATATCAGTCAAAATAAAAGCAAAACAAATATATATATAGATTGCCGCGTTTGTGGAAATCGAGTTTTCGAAAATCTCAAAAACGTTTCAGAAAGCAGGCTGTAACGTGAGGCAATTTGTATTGGCGTCGATGCGTTTTTAACGATCCGTTTGATGGATGGTAGCTGTTCATTCACGAGCACGTCGATCGAATCCTTGAAAAATGATCCTGCACATCGACGCGCACACATCTCAGCGGGAGTATCTATGGGTAGTAACCTATGCGTCATTATACAAGGTGTGCGTAAGATGGTGAGCGTAGAAAACCACGTGCAAAAATTTATTCTCTGCGCAAATCAAAAGAAGTATCGTACCTATTATTTCAATGAGAATATCTATAATTTTTTTTTTTTTTTATTATAAATTGCTTAGTACTTTTGCCAATTAATCATAAACATTTGAAAGGATAATAAAACCTTCAATAGTGATTTTCTCGTCACACCCTGTATATATATCATCCGCGGGCATATGGCAGGAGAGAGACTGGCGGAGTGTTCCTTTTCGGTTAATATGTTTTCGCGATCCACAATGCGCCCGGCCGGGAGCCAAAGACAATTAATAACCTTCCGTAGGATCATTTATCGCGACAGTTTAGCCTCACGTTAGAGAAGAAACGAGCGAGAGAACTCGTCCCGCATAAACGTCGTGGCGCAGGTAGCCGCGTATTCGTATAAACGACGACGACAACGACGACGACGACGACGACGACGACATTGTCTGTCTCCTCGAGCCGTGACCGATCCGATTTTTAACAGCGATTTTGCGTCCGCCACTCGAGGAGTCAATCGTGAACGGTCGCGCGCGACCCTCTCGTACACTCTTGCGGTGGGAATCGAATGCTATACTCACGGAAGTGCCGTGGATTCGTTATGCCCGCGTTATGCCTTCGTGCGTGCATGTGAATGCACATGTGCATTCACATATCGCCTGCCTCTTCTGGAAGCAGCTGTGCCTTGGACGGGACGCGCGATGTCTCGCGAGCTCGGCACGTTCCGCGGAGCGTCAAATGAATACGTAAACACCGTTGCGAACGGTAGCAGTGTGATTCTCCTGAAGGAAAAAAAATCACTGGCCGACTTCGGCAGAAAAACCAGTCGTCGTGTCATCGGATTTACATCGAATTCACGCTTCGCGATGAGGATAAACGCGCAGAAGAAATTCACCGATTGTGCGTGAATACACTTCCGTAATGAGATACGAGGAGTAATGTTTAACGATCGAGAGAATTATATGTATTTTATATAGGTGTGTGTACTTGACGAGTATTATACGCGATTGTGTGTGACTAAGCAGTGATACATCCTCGCTGCGCGTTTTAGCAAATAACGTATGTATCCCGCGTGTGATTGATGCGATCATACACACGATCGTGTGGATTGCGATACGTATGATGATTTACTTAGTTTGGAGTCGTCTCTGCGAGCCACATTCAAGTGGCTGGAATATCCGATTGAAAGAGAGAAACGTATCGTAATATTGAAGTAAATTAATAATTTAAACAGAGAGAAATGTACACATATCTTTCTGAATACATTTGCCAAACATTCAAACATCAGTATGTATAGTTTTGTAAAAAAACAACAAATACTCTGATACACTGTATATATCATTTTTTTGTGGAATAAAAAGAGAATAATATTGCAGGAATTCGTTAAACAACCGCATATTGTAAGGGATGAGTCCTTTGAATAACAGCACCGGGTTTTATATCTTGCGCATTCTGCCTACTCCAAGAGACGCACGAGACCGGTATGCCTCGTCGGCGCAATTTAATCTCCCTTTATTTGGCGATTAAGCGCGCCACCATTGATTTATAATCTCATAAAAGGCCGAGGGCACGGTTCTGTAACGACGCCGGCAATATCGCAAACTGAAAGAGCATCGGGAGGGTCTCGCGCGTGTGTACGTGCGCGCCGCCGCACTCGCGTAAGCCGCGATATAAATGCGATTTCCACGAAAGCGACATTTAAACTTTTATACGCGATCTCGTTGAACAGCTCTTCGAAGTTTCGGACATTAATTTAATCCAAATAAAGTGTAATTTTGACGGAGATAAAACCAAAATATATGCGTTTTCTTTTTTAATTGTTAAGACTTTCGTTATTTCCGCGAGTATATAGTTTTAGATTTATAGATTTACTTAGATATTTACTTATATATCGCGTGCGTGTGTTTGGTTATTACATAAATTTTAGATATTTATTACAAGTTCACTTTTCTCTGTTTAAAACATACTCAACAGAAAATATATCCGCGCTTATCTATCGTTCTCGTTCGCTGCGTGTTTGCTGTGTGCGCGTGATAAGACGACTCAATTGTTCACTCAAAGAAACGGTCTCGTTTCGCGTAGACGTAGATATATATAGGTATATACATCGTCAACGGAAATGCTACCGAGTGTAGAGTGCTGTAACTCATCGAGTTATCGAAAAGTGAACAAAGAGCATCGATTTAGATTAGAAAAGTAACTTAGTAATTAGCGTGTGCGCGCACCGTTAGATGCGCCTTTTAAACAATTCGGATAAGATAAGGAGAGGCATTTCCACGCATTCGCACGTTTCGCTTGACTTTCGCTCGACCGCGAGAGTTTTGCCGAAGTATCTCTTTTGAGAAAATATTCAAATATATTTCAAAAGTTTTGTGCAACAGAGTTCATACGTATGATTTAAAAATACGGCCAAGAAGAAATTTGCCAATGGCTATGAATTAGTTTGGCGCGTAGTAAAAAAATTTTATGGCAGCGGTTTTTTTTAGGAATGCAACGTGACACTATGCGAATGCAGAACTCTTTGATCCACCTATACATTGAATTGTGTCAGGGTCTTCACAAAAAAGATAATGCGCGTATATTTGTCATGACTCGCCGCGTGTACTTCCCGCATGACTGTTGCAAAGGGGGCAATGTGTAGTGGCGGCAAAAAGGCGTTAAGTCACATCACCCCGTGACGGGCCACGTCGAAAAGGGTTAATATGCAAATGAATACGCGAAGCTTAGGTCAACATGCAAGAAAATTACGGCGCTCGTTGTATGAATACAATGTGCAAATCCAATGTTTCAGTATCGAAGATGATCAAAGATAATGCAATGGTTTCGAATATTAATGTATGTACGTAAGCATAAAACAACATGTAAACTTATGTAATCTGATATGAAAAAAAACCTGAAAAACTTCTTGCAATACATTACATAAAGTTTGGTTATTTGTTTATTTTAAAGACATGATTATCCATTTTAACTTCAAATTTTAACTTTAGTACACTACTGTTTTCGGAATATTGTAAAACGTAAATTGTTTCAAACATTGATTTTTAATCTAGATAAGATAAAGATACATCCACATACAGACATACACACATGTTTTATTACACACGCATACAAGTTGCGCGAGCACGTGTGCACGACGAAACGAAGTACGGAGTGGGAGAGAAAGATCGGAGGCGAAAAGGAGAGAGGAAGAGGAGAAGACGACTACACTCCTCTTCCGCGGGGCCCTCTGCTCTTCTAAGCATACGACTTCCCGAGTATACAAGTGGGTAATAACCGTATGAAAGGGTAACAAAGGTGGCTGACATTCCGTGGTCGACGCGAAGAAAAAGAACATGAGAGGACAGGGACGTGTACGCGCGGGCTTCCAGGGGAAGAGCAATAAATATATTTTGACATGGGAGAGCCTCGCCGAAGGTCTTATGCATAATAATTGTAACGGTTGTCTCTGTTGCACTTTGGGCACGACGTATAAGCGCACGTTACTCTCGCCTATTGTGCCGTCGAATTACGCTACTCACTTCCAGTAGGCAAATATTATAGCAACAGAAGGAGACGAGGGGCGACGCGATAATGTTTTCATTTGATGACGACTAACCTCGACGACTAACCGCACGTGAAAGAGGTTTCCTGCCTGACCTTTCCTCGAGCGATCTCGAAAGCGTGAAAGCCATATAACATTTTTTTAAAACATACAAAGGTTGAGACGGTACAATTGGCGATAACCAATACGTATGTGTAAGCGCAACATTTAATATTTTTCAAAATTTCGATGAAAAATAATATAAGAGTTCTTATATTATTTCTTTTTATATTATTTAAGATTATGTTTTGGTTTTTTAAAAATCCAACTTTTTATATCTTTTTACATTATAAAAAAAGTATTTCAATTTTCAAATATGTTCTAGATAATTTTAAATATATAAAAACATTATACAATAATTACAGAATATACTTTATTTCATTTTAACACATATATAAATATAAAAAGGAATTAAAATTATGTAAGATATAAATTGTAAAATTTTTAAAAATTTTTCAACAAATCTCTATGCCATTACTTTTGTGCAATGTACCTGATTTAATGGGGTAGTTCTACATCATGAAAATAATAAATTGTTTGCGTGCTGAAATAAGAAGAATGAGAAAAAAACTAAAACTAATGTTATTGTTTATATTACAGCAGTATGTCTGCATAAATGTTGCAAAATAAATACGGCACGTATATATCTGTGCCGAGATTTCAATGCCCGGCTTGTCAAACTATCGAGAAATATAAATATTACAAATTGATCGACAGCAATATATATATATTCTGGTATATATATTTTAGTATGTATATTCTAAAAAAAATATAAACATACATCTATATAATAAATTTATTAACATATATCTGTAATAAATTTATTAAGTTAACTTTAAATGCTGAAAGCTACGTCGTCACAACACGGCTTTTCGAAAATTTAATTAAACATAAAATGAAGCTGCCACTCACCATAGCTGAAGTCATCCACGTTAAAATGTCTTGTATCGCAGATCACTAAAATGTACAATCAAAATTCGATATTCTTGTTAAATCAACTGTTCTATTTTGTTGTACACCGTATTCTTGAATGTTCCAGGTTTTCTTATTGCTTGAATTTTGGATCACACACTCAATTATATAAATGTTCAAAAACTCGAAGAAAAATTCATTTGCGTTAATTTTTTTATGCGCCGGTGATCTTGTATAAGCGTCTCCTCTCTTCGAGTGAAGTATCCGATTGATTGAGTAATATAATCTCAATCTACTCTTTTTTCTTTCACAATTAGTTGTTATATTGTTTTTTTCCTTCTGTTGCGTCTCTGTAGCTGACTCTCTTCCTCTATGTCCTTGATGCAGAACCGTTTCTTCACCTCTTCCTCCCTGATCGCTAATCGTGATCATCCATATCGTCTACGCGAGTTGTTTTTCTCTTTTTATCTTTCTCCCTCTTTCTGTCTCTTTCGTACTTGAACGATACGTTTGGAACGATAGACCTCAATGTACTGGCCACAGTCAGCTACAGTCTCCTACAGCTTCATGTACCAAGAGCCATCTGGAGAGCGATTCATCGTTTACGTCTGGTGCTTGGGCCCGCCAACGGTCCCAGTCCGCGTCCCAGTCGACCAATCAGTGCTCTTTCCTACGCTGTTCAAGAGCCACCCATTCGTCCCCACTTGCGACTGGGCTCCACCACTCTTGAAAGCGCCTGTACCTGCCCTCTAATGCCACCACCACGCAATCTCGATAGTTAACAGACAAAACGTCTATAATGTTTATTATTATATAAGAATATTTGTATCAATGTTTTTTTTTGTTATATATCGAGAAAAACTTATAATCATATGAGATTTCACATATGTGATATCATGGTGCGCCGAATTTTGCATCTGATCAAATCAGAGATCCAAATTGATCTGATCGGATCTGATATTTGAAAAATTCGACGCGATATGATTTTATATATTTATATATAATTTTATATAAGATTTTACAAGTACGTGTGTTTCTATATTTTTTCGAGATAATTGTCTTTTCTCTACTCTTTGTTCGAATCTAACACGTTAACTACAAATCAAAAAGGTTACGACTAAGTCAACGACTAACAATGATAAACAAAACAAAGAGAACACACAAATCTCATGAAGTAAAATAAATAAAAAAGGTCTATATATTAAACGAATAAATAAGAAAGGTCTATAAATGAAACAAATAAATAAAAAAGGATTTATAGGATAGTTACGATATTTTTAGTATTAAAAAAACCTAAATTCGAAACGTAGAAGACATATATCTTTTTTACGACATTCTTTTATGTTTCAACTTAAAAAAATTGTACTTTTTTATTTTCTCACTCTTTTTGTGAAAGTTATTTATGTACTTTGTTTTTCCAACGTTTGAAAACTTTTTCTTCAATGTTCGTTTATTGCAATTTCTGTCTTTCTCTTATTATATCCATATGTTACCGCAATATATACTCGCTGTAGATAATATAACAATTATATAAGCGAGTCAAAGATACTTACAAAGCAAGATGTTGAAGAATCGTAAATTTTAAAAAGATTGAATGTATCTGTAGCGCGGTATACTGATCATCTGACGCGCCGACGAGGTGTTTTCTGTAAAAAAAAAAAAAGAAAAAGTATAAATCTGTAGTATAACAACAAGAGAGGCACGACAAACATCATCGGATTCGTGATCAATTGGCCGCGTATAATCCGGATGTATCTACGCGTTCGACCGTCCGTTCTTTTTTGTCTGTTGGCAGTGTCGTCCTAGTATACAAGCTTGTTCATGCAGAAACTCTTCTGAAAGAGGGCAGATGGGACTAATATGGACTCGATTCTGCCCCCGAAGATATGAACTCATTCTTTCGAAGGTGTCGGAGCTGTTCATCGACATGGAAACAAACGAGATTTATCGTTTGTGCTGGTTCTGTGCGTGCTCGTGGTTCTAGTCGCCCTTTGCGATTCTCAAAAACGGTCTTTCTCTCTCTCTCTCTCTTTTTCTCGCGATAGTTTTGATCTTATACGATCACAACGGATGAAAGTCACAAGGTGCAAAAAGATAAATAAATGCTCAAAAAAAAAAACGGAAGGGAAGGAATGAAGGATGTAGCGCATCAATCTGCGCGATATTATATTTCCAGACACGAATATTACCATTGAGTAAAGAATTTATAACTGATACACACAAACGGTATGTTTCTAGTTATTTGTTTTTTTTAATGCGCGATCGCAGAACGATCTTTAGAAGTGAAAGAAATAAAAAACGATAACGATGTTGACCTAGAAAAACGGATTTGTTACTTCATTGTGCTCGGAAACGCGGGTCGATTACTTGCAGCTCGTAAATCGCGGAATTGTATATTCGCACTCGTAAACATAAAGTGCGAATGTGTGTTTTCACAATCGAGGATCCGCTAAAATCCCGGGTGACAGTGATATCGGCTATCGCGGACAACGGGAACACTCGTAAACCTTTCCGCACGTGGGATATACGAAAGTCGCATCGGGATCGTATTTTCTCGCTGAATTGGTCGTCGTCCAAAAAATACGATCTGCAATCCAAGAGAAATCCTCACGAATAAATTAGACTGGAGAAATTACAGCTATATTCCGCAATAATTCTCGCGTAACGATCACTTAAAAATAAAAGAGCTTGTTTGTATTTGTTTTGTGTTCGGTTTGTCCTGTGAGCGACAAAAAAGTGGGATTCGCACAATTTTAAATACTGAAAATATTGTGTTTCACACAAAGTTATATGTATGTATATATATAGAACAAAGTTTATTATATGCATATGTATATGTATATATACGTATATATAGATACATACATATATACAATATAAAAAGAAAGAGAGAGAATGTGAATTTTACTATTTTCTCGTATTCAAGTTTGGATCTTAGAATAATATAGATATTAACAAGAAGAGACACAAACAGCGCCATAAAAGAAATAGTCTGAGAAATTGAGTTGCAACGTCGCTTAACGTATGCTTTGCTAAAAATGGCGTGGCATTTGCGAGATTTCGGGAATGCGGCGACGACGCGACACGTTGAAAAATGCCATTAGCCATGGCACGTTGGTCTCATTAATCGAAAACATGCGGAATGTTGTAAGAACGTTGTGGCTAGTCGAAAGCGAGCGACAGTATGTGCGGATCGTCGTCTTTGCTGCAATCGATTACCGCGAGGAAATTATTAAACGCAGTCGCGGCCGCATCGAGAGAAGAAACTTCCTCCTACAGCACGAGGTCAAAGGGACACAGTCGTGGCGATTGTGAAAAAAATTCTCGAGGATCTTTCTATAAGCTACTTCTCAAAGATGTGGAATAAGTACTTGACAGAATAGTGAAATAAAGAGAAAGAATTTTCCTAGTGATACATTATCGAAAACCAGTTTATCTTCAAAGAGCTATTTTGTAAAAAAATATAAGATCTAAACATACAGAAATGTAAAGGATTTAGAGAAAAAATAGATTCAACATAAAAGAATCTCCTTTTTTTATTTAAAGAAAAGTAGAAGAATTGAGAATTTATGTAAAGAATTTAGAAAAAAATAGATTTAAATAAAAGACATACCTCTTTTTTTGACTTAAAGGAAAGTAAAAGAGGTAAAAAAAAATACCTTTTTTTGACTTAAGGAAATTAAATAGTAGACCTTTTCTTATAAAAAAACGACAGAAACATTCTTGCCTTCGTTTTTAGTACAATAAAACTCATTTGTCATCTTTCTATTAATTGCTTCTATTATTGCTTTATTACATTTAGGAATACTTTTCGAAACTATTGGACTGTTTTCTTAGGTCGTTTCAAAGGTTTGCTCGTTCGGATTTACATTTTGCTAAGTCTTAAAATATTTATTTTACCTAACTGAGCGATCATCAATTTTACTTAACATTATGTATAACATTATATTTATTGTGACATTATATTATATCACACGTGTGTGCGAAGAAAATTAACTATTCGATTGCGCACAATGGTGTGTCCATTTTGCAAGGACTCGAGATCGGAGAATTATTTCGAGCAAATAAACAAAATCTCTCGTGTCCTCGGTTGCGCTTCTCTCGCATGAAGGGCGTAGGCGAATCTTCGATCTCCGGAGCCGCTGGAAGTCAACCTCTCTCTCGACATACGACCTCACGAGAACTAGGAGCGCAGTCCCGTATCTTAAATCTTGTACTTCGTATTCTTGCACAAAGCAAGGAAAGATACAGATACGCCCGCTGATCCAGAGAGGATGTACGTTTCAGTGATGTACAGCCGAAGCCACAGTCGCGTGAGTCGCGATCTTTGGCGTGAAATCCTACGTGAAAGTTTGTAAATTCGCAAAAGCGTGTCGAATTTTAAAAGAAAAAAATTACGCTGTATGAATTGTACTTTGATCGAGCTTCAAAGTAATTAACGCTATTTCTCTCGGGAAATAAAAACTTATGAATCTCTATTATGTTCCCTAGGTAACTGATTTTTCACAAAGCAAATAATCATAATAATACAACCTTTTCAAATACTCCCCTATTATTTGCAAACCTCAAGCCACCGTATGCATCGTATCGATCAAAAACGTAAAAAAAAAAAAAAATGAGGTACGTTCGACGATCGAATGACGAATCAGAAACGATCGGAAACAGCTGATTAACGTTCCGGCCGAGTGTCCGGATCGATGTTGACGAGGTCTATCTACCTAACTAGATTTCGCGACATCTGGCCGATTTGTCACGGGGACGTTTAGGCGATGTAATATTTCAAGCACGCCCGAGAATGACGACTGTCGTCACGGTATTCTGTGAATAATTTCTGAATACCGCTAACGAGAGTCTAGTGGTGGTATCCGTTTCGAAGCCGCACTCTTGAGACCGCGTCCAATTGCACTGCCGCATCACTGCCGCAGTCATGAAAAACACTTCCGCGGCTGTGAAAATCAAGCGGTAGCTTGCGGTGCTTTGCGAACGTATTTCTCCCTCTCTCCCGTGCCGTTTCGCGACAAACCTGGGAATATAGTTAGTTTCGCGTCTCTCCTCGCCGGTACTAAGAGGGTACCTTTATATACGCATGATTCTCAGATAATTCGTCGGCAGCGGTTTTACGACGCGCATTTCTGAGGAATCGGTTGAGTGAAAGTTCTAGCCGCGAGAGGCGTGCGATCGTTTTACTCGACGTCCATCTCAATTATAAAAGTCGATCAAATTGCGACACGTTTCTGTGTGAATACTTTCCCATACTCTTTCGCGCGCGACTTTCCAATACCGGAAAATTTTCAATTAAAGTAAAATTTTTTTTTCAATCAAATTCGATTCTACCGATCGACTCTACCGCGCTTGTGTGATCTCGATATGTATTGAATAGCGATGCAACAGCCGCGCTCTGACGTCTTGCCGATTTAATACAACGACGACAAGAAGCAACGATCCGTCTCGTTGGTGACGAGGGACCCCGCTGTCTAAATACGCTTAATGGATGACAACTATAAACTACCGCAGCAGCACATAACACGGAACCACGGAAC